AGAAAGTCGGTTTTCGGAATTGCTGCGTCTTAGATTGGTTTCACACTTTAGAATACAAGCTTTTAACTTAATTCCGCTTGAAGAATTGAAGTCTTGCCTATATGCAAAGCCATTCGTAATGCGCATAAGTACTCTAAATGTGTGGGACAGTACCAGCGCAGAAAACGAACCGTCGTTGTATGGATAATCCAGCTATTTTCAAAGCCCACCTGAGGTCCCAAGTTTTCTCATATCTCAGCGTCCTTGTAGTTTATAAAAGTATGCAATGAAAAGGAATAGGCAGTAAGTGATGTTTAAAGATCTACTTGTTCTCCGTAGAGAGCACTTGATTGCTTCTGGTATATGATTGTCTAGTCGTTCAGCAACGACAGTCTACTCAACCCATAAATGACTGGGATACATCGAAAGAATGAAGAACATTGTGTATATGTGTAGCAAATTGAACAGCAACTTCCTATTCTTGTGATTTAGCTGTATCCTTCTTGTAGGGCCTTGTTGAAAAACTCTAACCATTGAGTCGGTGTTCTCTCTACTGTGCGTTTGATGTTCCTTGAAAACCGATCACTAAGGGCTCTTGTTTATCCGTTGTCATTTAGTCAAATCATCTGTCCAGCACACTTCACTTTCGACATTTCTGTCTGTAGAATGGCATCTCTGATCTTTGATCGTTGACGTAGTTCTCAACTTCGGATTTTTCACTCCCACATGAGTGATATGAGATAATCCCACCATAATCCTCTCGACAGCGTTTTGGATGACGCTGAATGATCTCTCATCCCGCTTACGTAGCGACTGGGTTTCGGACACTACGTCAATGCAAAAAGAATTGTGGAATTAAAAAGGTGGCAACGGAATCGTGTGTTTTTAGTCTTTTTTGCTACATCGTCGGTGCTGTTGAAAGCTTAGCAAGCCGCTCACTTCTTTCTTCTCAACTCTTGCTACAAGCCGTTAATTTCGTTAATCTTGACCTCTCAGCCGAGATAAAAATAGCTGGAGCATTCGGCTATGTTCATTCCGTGGCGCGTGAATGGAAAAGCGGAAAATAATCTGTTCCTCATGAGCACCGTTTTCGTGCGATTTAGTCGAAAGCCAATCTTTCCACAAGTATTGTGAAGTCGGCTAAAATGCGTTCTGCCTGAATGATGATTAGTTTTATAGGGACAATACAGCAATAATGGTGTAATTTTAGACCATCAGCCTCCTCGCCGTCGTTGTCCCATTCCAATTTTTGCATAACATTCTCCAGAATAGCTGTTAATAATTTTGGTGTACTAGTATAGCTTTGTTGAAGCCTTCTCATGTCAAATTTAATATAGTTACAGAAGCAAACACCAACGAAACACTGCGGAACAGAACACCATCGTTTTTCACTAGATGAAATCGCGCTTATTTCAATCGGTTTAACGGTTTGCCGGTCGAACCGTGAACTTCAACGAAAATTAGCAAAAGAAATGTTTTGCACTTTGCTGAAAGATTTTCCGATTCCAATAGTGTATTTTTATATTAAAGGAATTTATTTTATTCTGTGATAAGCTCGTTCAAACTTGGGACCAGAAGTGATTCTTGCACCATGTTCACTTAAATCGGAGCATGTCAAATGTTGTGTATTAAATATTGACTACACATGTAGCCTACTCGTGCTACATTTAGAAGACGTCTGAGAAATTTCTTCAGATTTACGTGCAAACCTTCGCATTATGTTGGGGATCTTCAGATTTTACTGTCCAATAATCTTGACACTGCAGTTGAAGGTTCAAGTGCTTAGTAGCTTGACATATATCCTATTGGTGTGTATCGTTTTGAAGTTTTGTTTTTCACTATAGTTTTTATAGATATACCAATGAATGAGGGCATCTCATCGACAAAAACGCAGGCTCCATCAAAGAAAAGTAATGCCAGTGAAGAAGAAGAGTATAATCAAGTGGACATTCCAGAAACTCAACCAGTGGGTGTTACCATCGATTTTTCGCATCAGTGTTTTCTATTCGTTCAAGATCTCAAGTAAGAAACCATAAATGATTCTAAATGATTGGAAAGGGTAACAACATTCAGATCCTGCTTGCTTATTTCTATGTCTATACTGAACAGCATCTACCGTACTGAAGTAAACTCTTATGTGACGTAAGTTGAAATTGGCAACAACTTCCGACTAAGACTCAATCAGAAGTCCTATTTGTCGATTACTTTAACTTGCCGCAAAAAACGCTTCGTTTCGTTATTTGTGGCTTGTTATCAAAGTGTCGCTACGAGGCCACTTATTGTTAGATAGGTATGCAACGATATGAATCTACGAGTCGTACATGGGATGCAGAGTAGAGATAGGAATCATATGTTTCGTATACCAAAGGTATTATGCAGAGTATCGTTTAAAAAAACCATTCTTTGCACCAAACAGTATATGGGGAATTGTTTTCTTCTTACCCACGCCTTTGTCCGTCTGATTGGTTCCTCGACAGCGGCTTTTTGCTGGTGAAAAATGAGCAAGAGTGTCTTTGCTGTTTTTTTATACCAAATGTCATCACTTGAGAACACTTTGCAATGATGAATCAGTAAGCCGCTGTGGAGTGTACTTAACTGTATTGCAATCGTTTACTTGCGATGAGCAAATTTACTGATTGTATAAAAGGCAGTGCTCATCTTTTAATGTTTTTCCACAAGCTGCCTTCTGAGACGCCACCACGGAAGTACCACTGATAGTTTTTTGACGACAGGATGTAATCTTTACATTACTGGAGTAGTGGAGCAATCAAGAATTATGCGTTTATAAAGGAAACGTTGCTTTGCCACCTAGGGAGAATATATAGTTTTCATAAAATATTCTTTCGATTTTGAATTTGCTTGGAGTTAAACTCTCAAGGAATTGAAAACGACAATTAAATTTTCAAATTTTTCAACGCAGTTGAGACAACTCCAACTGCTTCGATGGACTGAGGAGCAATTCTATGTCTGCGGTGAATTCCGGTCTATTCAAATACTTTGATTTTCCAAATGCAACCATTGTTAAAAGAGGGGAAAGAACATGTTTCGTGGGCTCCGGAAACCAGAATTTCATTGTGGCGGAAGGAAAATTTGGATCATGTTGTCTGAGATTTGCAGATTCTAATGATCGCTTTTCTATAATTCAAGTTCATTGTGAATTGAGATATAATGGTTTGAGTTTGAAGACAACAATTATTTTCACTTCATATGCATTGGAATCAGTGCATATCGGGCGTTGTGTACTACATATTTTCTACTTTCATCTCGTACCCTTTTCGATGTTATAGTTGTTGTACTCAAGGAATATTTATTATCTGTAACTTTTACAATTCTTTCGTCTTTATGTCAAAAAACTGCCTTCAAAAGCGAGTGCGTACTCCACAGTGGTTAGAGCTGAGCTGCAATACACACCTGGTCGTAAGTTTGACCTTGCTCCCTGGGATCAACAAGCCCTCCATCCCTCCGGGCTCGGTATATTTGTACCAGACTTGTATGGGAGGATAGCACTACTGACTTGATACATGCATTCAATCACCTCTAAAGACGACTAATGAAGTCGACTGTACCCACATTTCTCCGACATTGGTCAGCGTTGGACGCTTGATCCTTCCACTATTTGATCCTTTATACGTGACACTTTACTACATTCCTGTTTTTTAGGCTTTTGTTTTTGCTTTACACGGGCCGTTGTCACATTTTTGCGGCTCCTAGCATTATTTCATTTAATTTGCTTCGCATCCTCCATACTCCACGAGTCTTCGATTCTTTGCTGTGGATTTGGCTACTACTTGAGACTCCTGGTCACTCATATAAATACTGTTGAATGATGCTCGAGTAAATCCATATCGTAGTCCTAAGGGACCCATGCTGGACCATTCTTAGATCCTTACCGCAATCGGTTATCAGCTTTTGTAGGTTGAAAGGAGCCCTCGGAGGGTGAGAGCGCTGGTGGCCCCGGTGCTACGTCGAATCAGCGCCTTTCTCGTGCTGAAGGAAATCACTACCACTGTGCTGCCCATCGTGAATTCCAACATCGGCCAACTAAATGTCGATCCTTTGACGTTTTCGTCCTGTTCATGACCATTCTTGTGCACGTACAAGCACTGATAATTTGATGCTTTAATCTTAAATTTTATCTCGACTTTTTATACAGTGTCCTTGTAAATGCTCCACGAATTCGCCAAAAACGTTTGAATTGACCGGTTATAAGAAAAACTGTATGGACGTTGGCTTCGTGACATAGTACCTATCGACCACTCACCCCTGGCCTCGTGATCACCACCTTCGTACTTGCGTTCCAGTTCACTTCTTTCACACTCTTATAGTACTGGAAAAGATTTTTTCAGGGTGTTCAGTGCTTTGTTGTCTCCTTTCGATGAGGTTTCCTTCGACGATCAAGTTGAACTCATCTCTGCCTACACCATTCAAATCTATAAATTCAATTTTTCAATCAGTTATTAACAGTTGTTTGCAATCATTTTACTACTACGAGTTGCAGTTATTAAAGTAGGTAAATTTAGCAAGCGTACTAAAATTTTTAAAACATACTCAGAATATGTTGCAAAATCAAAGACCATAGCACTATTCTCTGGGTGGACGAGTTTTTTCTTTTCGTCACGCACAAAGGCTGGATATGCGCTAGAAACATAGAAAGGTTCATAGAATTTGGACGGTAGTAGAATATTAAAAACCACGGGAATAGGGGAAGAACGCGTAGAAAAATTGAATTAGGGCACAAAAAATTGCAAAGAAGACGTAGTTATTTTTTGGGGTGGTCATGGAGTGCATGAGAGGAATCACATTCGTGGTGTATTTGACGAAGAAATGGGCGTCATTGCACGTACGTATCACAAAATACTACGCATCATCGCCAATGTACTTTGTGCGGGCAAGCGCGTGCCATAGGAAAATCATGTTTATCAACTTGTTTTTCCAGTGAAAAATGTGTTAAGAACCGAATAGTTTTTCAGAACCGTTTTTCTTGGCGTACACTATGGGCGTTCACGGGTCCAGGATTTCTTATGAGCATTGCCTATCTCGATCCAGGAAACATCGAAAGTGATCTACAGTCTGGTGCAAAAGCACAATACAAAGTGGGAAAACATTGAGAGCGTTGATAACTTTTTTGTTTGCTATCGTATTTTAGTGGAGTCGTTAGAGAGATCCATGTAACGAAGCGCTTGTTAAATGTTCGATAAAATATAACACTGCATTCAGTTGTTATGGGTTTTACTTTCCGCTCATATCATTGGAATGCTCTTGCAACGAATGTCTGCACGACTAGGTGTTGTCAGTGGAAAGCATATGGCCGAGGTCTGGGCCTGTTTTCTTCCTGTATTTTTTCCCACATTTTTATTTCTAGTGCGATTTTTCGGTGTTTGTTTCGTTGAAAATTATTAATAGACTTCTTGATCTTTTTTATTCTTTAGGTGTCACATGATTTCTATCCTCGTATACCTCGCTTAATTTTATGGATAATGGTTGAAATTGCTATCATTTGTAGTGATATGCAGGAGGTTATCGGAACTGCAATAGCCATCTACCTAGTCAGCAAGGGATGGTATGTCTTTTATCTTTTTGGGTAGCAATAAATGAATTTGTACGCCTAGTGAACTTCCGCAAAAAAAAGTTAAAAATTTCGTGATTCTATGATTTACACTCGAAACGACTGCTCAGCCCATGACGGACGCTCACCGTTTAGCGTGGTTGTCTTGATGGAATACGTGCATCTTTTCATCGGCTGCAAAATTTCTGGTTTTTTGACAGCACAAAATAATTTTCCAATAACTGTAGAACTGTTTGGTTTTTTAACACGGCAGAAGAGACATTGCTTAATTTTTTTAGAGGTACGAATGATATATATGCTACCACTTTCTGTGTGTTACTATGCTCCATTATGCAAATACATCGATCTCAGCGGTCGGAAGTATTTCTCACCCCATGTCGAGTCTGTTTCGGTGGTTTGCACATCCGTACATTCCATGCAGTGACCATAGTGGTTAAAATGTGATAACGATTGGTTATTAGTTAAATTACCGGTGAATAGATCTTTCAAACAAAAGTTTCTTGTGAATAATGAAGTGCAGAGAATGGTTTTCTTGGTCTCACCCTTACTGTTTTGGTCTGCTTTCAATTAGCTGTCGAATGGTTTCAGCATAGTGTAGTAAAAAAATTCTAGAATTCAACGAACTGAAAATGGACACCACCATAGTGTCCATACTGTACCCTGCTCCACACGCAAATGGACACTAAATTGTCCATACCAGGCGTTATGGGTTAATCCCTTCGCGATGAAACTGGCTTATTGCTAATGTCGATATCACCTGTTGTCTTGTTGATCGTTGAATGGCTCGAGCGGACCACAGTAAACATTCAGTTTCTCCCCGTCGTGTGCAAGATTAGCTTAGTGGGTTCTGATTACTCTAGGTATTCGTTGAACATCATACCTTTCTTCTAGGCTTTTCGTTAAGAACTCTGACTATCGGTTCGGTGGTGTTCCCGTAGTACGTTTGACATCCCGAGGAATCAAGTCACTAACGGCTCTTGTTCATCGGTTGTCCTTCAAACGTGTTACGTGTCTGACTCACCTTATCTTCGACGGTTTGGCGTATAAAACGGCATCCTTAATTTTTGATCGTTGACGCAGGTCGGAGCTTCCGATCCTTTCCCGTACCTACGTGACACGAGGTACTCCTGCCATCGTCCTTTCGACTGCACTTTCAATAAGGCAGAATGATCTTCAGTCTGCTCACGTTTTTGACGCATAAGTTAAGGCAGGAAGTGTCGTGGTGTCGAAGAGGTGAACACGAAGTAGGGTGTTCTTTGTTCTCGTCACTACTACACCCTTGATGCTTTTGAATACTCCCCATCTGGAACTAATCGTTCTTCGTGTTGATTTCCTTAACTAGATGGACGTAACTTCCTCCCGGCTAATGTTTGATATTATAAGAACGATGTCATCCGCAAATCGATGACGGTGTAGTTACGGACTATCGATTTCCACTCCCATGTTGCTTCACTTCAGTGTTCACAGTCCTTCTGGAGAGTGGCAGCAAATAATTTTGGCGAGATGGTATCGCTTTCCATGACCTCTCTTTTGACGTTAATGTTAACATCGCTGTAGAATGGTGATATTTTGATTGCCAAATTTTTATAGATCACCCAAAATCTTTACACGTCGCTTAGGGACACTTTGGATGCCTAGAGCTTCCATGACTGCTTCTGTCTTAACTGAGTCAAAAGCAAAACAATATTTCACCAGCCGACCGCCATTTAACCTCGGTAATAAAATAATTAAAATCTGTATGAATTGTTGAGCTTACACGAAGCTGATAAGTTAGCTTTACTCGGCTAACGTTTCGACGACTTCGTCTTCATCAGAACCGAAGATCTCAGTCGATGGTCCACAGTTGTTCTTCTCCTCGATGTAGCATCTTCCTCTCGCATCGAGTCGGAAGTTCTTCAGATGAACACCGCTGGAATGAAGCAAGCTCACCTGACAACGTTCTTTTATGCAGGATGATTGTTGTTGCTACAGCTATCCGTTGATAGGAACTTGTTTGTCACCAGATAATCATTCCTGCAGCAGTTGATATTATGTTAGCTAGCACAAAGACGAAGGCATCGAAACGTTAGCCGAATGAAGCTAATTTGTCAATCAAGTGTATGCCCAACAATGCAAGAATGAGCGAAAAGCTTTCCTTAAGTCGATGGTAGTGAGGCAGAGCAGTCTCTTATGTTGTCGGGATGTTGCAATGAGTTTTGTTTTCCTGTGGATACGATCCATCGTACTGAATAATTTCCGAAACCCTGCTTGCTAACATGGCTGTCCCTCGTCCAGTCTTCTGTCAGTACTGCTTAGAATAACTCCAGTGAAAAATTTGTAGATGACAGGCATTAAACAGATTGGGCGATTGTTGCTGATATTGTCGAGGCAATCCTTCTTGAACAACAGCACGGCTTTGCTGGTCTTCCGCTGTGCAGGAACCTTGCATTCTGACAAGCATTGCATAAAGAGCCAAGCCAGTGTGTTTATGAGGAGTGAGTGAAGGTTCATCAAATGTTAAAATCTCATTTTGTTCGGACTTGGTGCTGTTCTATTTTTCACCGACGAAATAGCATGTTGGGTTCCGGAAGAGAGAACCAGCGTTACGACATGTCCTTCTTCCTATATTTCATATGAGGGCAGGAGGGCGGGGTTATATGAGAGATCTGAGTAGCAATCTTGAATAATTTTCTCCATTGTCTTTCTGAACGTTGTAGCTGTTCCGTTTAGTCGTCGGAGTGCAATCATCTTCGTCTTGTAATTGGCGAAGCATCGGTGGGCTTTGCGAATGTTTTTCCCAGCCTTTACAGCTTCAACCATAATTGATTCTGTTCTTTGTTTAAGATCTTTTATCACCGGTCTGAATTGTTTTTCATGTACGGACGTGAGATCGTGATTGCCTGTACCTCGTTTGATTACACGTTGGAGTATCAGCTTGATTGTTTCTGGGGACAGACGTTTCTTGGTGGCTTTCAAACTCCCAGCTTGGATAGCGCTCATGTGAAAATCTGGAATGAACCGATCGCATTTCTCGTTGATGTTATCAATAACGCTATCTTCTCAGGACCCGGCTAATAATCTAAAATAAATCGCAGTTTATGGTGGTTTTGGGATTGGTTTTTTTGAAGATGGCGGCTTTTCCTTGTTTTGCAGGGAATGAAAACATTCATGAAGCGGACAACGGTCCGATTCTGTGTAGAATTTTGAGACAGCAGCGACATCGGTTATTCAAAACGTTCCATTTGCTATAATGTGATCTATTTACATCATTTTGCTAATCTCCAAGAGGAGATTCCCACGTCCAGCGTTGAGAGTGGGGTTTTTAAAACTGTGAGTTGCCAGGAATGGTCTTGGTCTACAGGACAAACTCATACACAGCCGCTCACCCTCCTCGTTCCATTCTAATGCTTGGTTCCCAATGTGACGTTTTTCAGGAGTTATTCTGTTTTCAATCATAGCGTTGAAATTTCAAAAAAAAGTGAACTTAAGCAATATGTGGTCTTTTCTGTAGAACTTCTACAAACCTATGTAGAACGCTTCAACTTCGTCTTCGTCATAGCTGTAAGTTCATAATGAGGCGACTTTAAAATTGCTAATTTCGATAAAATTTGCAAAATCTCGTCAATATTTTATGATAAGTGGGCATTTTACGTTGTTACATAGCTTTTTTGTCCTTTACTCTCTGCTTCATGATGTTCATTGTCCAGTGTTCAGTACAAGCAACTTTTGTTCCTAAAAATTATACCAGTAAGGTTATAAAGGTACTCGTTTATTTTAGCGAAGGTTCTTCATAGCAGTTTGAAGTAGCTCATTAGTTGGTTATTGAGTAAAATATTTTGAAGAGTTAACCGTTTGCTTCATGAAGGAGTTGAGGCAGCTATTAACAGTAGTACTATGAAATTCACCAGGAATCCAGACCACTGACAGTTTTCTGTTTAGCGGAACCACTTCTTTATGCAACTTTTCGCCCATACAATTTGTGGAGTTCACAAGCCGTCCCTTCCATCTCTATTCTATAGAGTTTATCTATTTTTAAACATTGTTGTTCACCTACGATTGAACCCTGTTTTTTAAGCATATCTTTTTCTCGAAAACTTGTTTATTTATTTCGTAAGATGCTCGATCATATTGGCCTCCATTATTTAGTTTATTTTCTGCAGCGATTATGTCCGGGCATGCTACTCTTAATCTGCTTCGAGTGGCGTTCTGTTTTCTTCGTATGGAAACAGTTCAAACGGCTTTCATATTACGTCGTTTATTATTCTTGAAAATTTAGGGTTCCACTATGGGCAGGTGTGCTGGTCACTATAGTTGACACATTTACATTTCTATTCATTGACCGATATGGCGTGCGCAAATTGGAAGTGGTTTTCGGCATTCTAATCTCAACTATGGCTTTATCGTTTGGATATGAAGTACGTTATTGTGGACAAATAATTACTTACTTGAGTGCTTTAACAGTGTATGTTTTCGAAAAAGCTCATTATTCAACAGCTTGGGTTTCGCTTAACCGATTCATTGGCAGTTCGGCAACACTTTTTTTCCGTACTACCGAAAAATCATTCTCACGACGTTTTCATGAAGCTAGCCATACCTTAATCTATATTTCCTTTCCTTTCTGAAATTGGTTTACTCACTTTCTAATTTAGGCATCTGGTTGTAAATTTTGAGCTCCACAGTTTTTATGACCTTGTAGAGGGGTTGGCTGAAGCTGTCGCTGTACTACACAGTTGATGATCCACAGACACCGGCCAAGATGAACCATTAAACCAATTGAGAGATCACACCGACTTTTTACAGTATTTCGTCGTTTCTCCTTCATGGCCTTCCGTACTATCTGGGATGTTCGTTCCATGGTGTGCAGGCTGTGGCAGGGAAGAATTTCTACAAGGGATCTCCATTGTTGGAGCCGTGATTATGCCACATAATCTCTACTTACATTCTGCGTTAGTCAAGGTACGCCCAACGGATCCAAATGCAAAATCTTCTCATATTTCTCTCTCACACAATCCTATATTTTGGGCACTTTAAGGCGAATTTCAGTCACGACGAGTGAATCGCAGCATTCGAGATCGCGTTGCCGAAGCCAATTTTTACTATACAATTGAGTCCTCACTAGCTCTGTTTTGCAGCTTTTTCATCAACGTGTTTGTTGTGGCAGTGTTTGCTCATGGGCTCTATAAAAAAACGAATTACGATGTGGTAAGTGGTTAAGAAACCGAACTTAACTGTGATGAATGAAGTTTGACTGTTTTGTATGAATCCAACTATGTAAATGATTTGGTGCACTTTAGCGGATATCATGTGACAATAGGCACGGAATCTTCGATCCAGATGCTTTTCCTTACAACAACGACACTGCAATATCAGATATTTATAAAGTAAGTAGGTACTGTTTAGGCAACACCATGTTTAACACACAAGGAAAACTTTCTCTTTAATGCATATTTGGAGTGAGGGTGCACAGTGAATGAAGTGCGTTAACGAATGTATTTCCTATTCAGTGGTTTGTTTTGTCCCCTATAGCCCTTTTTGCTGCAGTTTTTGTATTCATTCGATAGCTTATTCCACAAAGAGACTGTTGCTGTGGAGAAAGTATAGAGAACATATGTGTTATACACTGTAAGTGAACGCTGTTTTACATTTAGGGGAACCTCTTCACTATAATAGTACGAGCCATTAAGGAGACTTCCTCATAGTGGCTCGATGGTCGCAGAATATGCGTTCGTCAGTGTACTTTAATGCAATTTGTCTTTAGAAGCTATCAAATCTTATTAAAACAGCGTTTCAACATTTATGAAGATAAAATCTTCAAGTCCTCTCAAAGGCTTACCGCCTCATCGTGGCTGGGAGTTGTTCATGACTGTTAGATTGCGATCTACAGCGGGAGGATTCATCCCCTGACAGGGTCTTCCAAACTGAGAAAGAGTCCTGCGTTTCCATCAGGAAGCCCAACTAAGAGTAAATCAATACCAGGATCCAACATCGTTCTGGTATCAAACCGGTCTCACGGTGGCAAATCTCCCTCTGATCCAGAAGAACTGCAACTGCTTGTGGTGGTGACGAACTGGGGCAAACTTTGGCCAGGTTGACCTCGGGATTTCAGGGAACCACAATGGATAAACCAGCAAATTTTCCAAAAATGGATATTATGCTGGGGCCCGCACAACCAATGAGGACGGTCCATTCAAGTGCTAGGTATCAGTACGTAGAATGAACACATTGACACTTCACATTCAAATCGAAGTTGTTAACTAGAACTAATAATTTTCACGCAACAGTTGAAATTTTTCACTTCAAACTTATGTTTTCGAACACTTTTATGACAACTATCGAAGCATGAATCTCAATAATATTTCGTGCAACGGGTGCCTCTAGTACTTACATGCTTACATGTTTGCAGCGCCGTTTGCAATCCTCTTGTAACATCCTGTTGTACACATCGTCCTTACGTCCTTATTTTTTCGGCCCACCGGTATCACTTTCTCCATGGGAATAAGAAGTTAAAAGTGTGGAAGTGCTTCCGTTTAAATTCATTCACGGAGGTTTTCCGCACGTTATCGTTGTAAATCTTCTGTGCCATTGCATTCACATAGGATTCTCTCTGGTTTTACTTTTCAATAACCTACGGTCTTGATGTGTTAGGTGGAATGGTGTCGTCGTGAACTGTGGATATCGTAGTAATGTCATTGTTATCTTTCCACTTCAACATCATTTTATTGTTCCAACCACGCTTTGCTATCCATAGCCCTCTCTTCAATACTAGGTGGATGAACTACTCCGGAAATCATTTTCTATGCTATGCTAGAGATGGCAATAAGGTGAATCGTTCGCTGCACTAGGTTCGAAACGAAAGGACTATTTGAATACTAACTATCGGTAAAGAGGTGCTCTTTCAGAGATGCTTTTCTTCAATCAGCAGATTGTTCACACGCTTCATTACTGCACTTCAAACCATATCTGTAGTTATGGAGAGATCGCTGGTAGTACACACCAAAATTCTATAAGTTTAGTCGTCTCAACATCACATCTTGCATAACTTATGTTCGTGTTTTGCATGTGGGACATACCACCGGCAAGAGACTTTATCCGTGGTCGACACAAAGTTTTCATCAATCTGCACATATTTTCCAGATCTATATATTCTTTTATGATTTCTGTCGATAAATTAAACTAATGTTCTAATCTTATACAACTTGCATTATTGGTCATTCACTGTGTTGACCGAAAAATGTAGATTAGCCGTCAGGCTTTCAAACTCTTCAGTTAACATAACATGAGATGCAATGCGGTGGTGTGCAAGTCAGACTGGAACTTTCCTAATCCTTGTTGTGTTTATCTAGTAGTCATCATCCTAAATCGGAGAGTGATGGTTCTTATCTTGTCGCCAACACTTGACACTTCCCACAAAACATCATCCTTTACTGGTGCTCCCACTCTCAACAGCATGGCTCTGAGGAAGACGAAGTGGCCGGAACGTTAGCCGTCGACTAACGACAGCAACAACAACAACAACAACAGCTATTACTACTATAGCGATAGCTTATACCAACCTCGCTTCAGCTCATCAAGGGCTGTTAATAAGAGCGTTGTGTATATCACCTGTATCACCTTAGTCCAATTGATCATTGAGTGACTCTAGCGGTCGCCAGTAAATCTCCCATTTTTCCCAGTCGCATGCGAGAGTAGCCTAGTGGGTTTCGCTCTAGGGACTCGTAGAGCATCATATCTTTCTTCCACGCTTTTCTTGAAGAACTCTAACCATCGGGTCGGTGGCCTTCCTGCAGTGCGTCTAACATCCCGTGGAATCCAGTCACTAACGGCTCTTGTCCATCAGTTGTTCATACGTATTACTTGTCCAACCTACCTTATCTTCGACTGTTTGGCGTACAGAACGGCATCCTTGATTTTTAATCGTTGGCGCTGGTCGGAGCTTCGGAGTCCTTTTCTTGTTTGTGTGACACGGGATACTCCTAGCATCAGGAGTTTCGTTTACAATTCAATATGCACATCTGAATTCGCCACCGGTTTCTCAGGTCGCTCTTGAACCACACCAGATGATTTAACAATTAGCTACTCTGGGAAGCAAGACGTAACGTCTCTACTTCGCACTTCAAGTTTCTCCAAAGTCGTTGGTTTGGTAGATTGAAGTTCCTGCTTTAACCAACTCAAAAATAAAAAACGCAGCGTTCAACAAAATTATTTGATCTTGTAGTATACTCGAACTAAAACCTATGGAATCGAAAAGATCTTTATTAGTAGATTACAAGTTCTTTTTACTGTATTAGGCTATAACTCTGATTTTTAATTTTGAAATTTAAACAACTTTCAATTGGAAAAGACACTTTTGAAAAGTTATGCCCACCTGTTTAGATAAAGAGCACAACTTTTATATAACTCTGTCATGCCCTCAATCTCCAGATCCTGTGGTTATCGAAAGTTATCGAAGAGGCGCGTGTGGCGCAGTGGTCGGAGGCGCCTTGCAACACACATGTGGAATCGATCTCTGCGCCCGCAGCCCACCAAGCCTTCCATTCCTCCGGCGTCAGAAAATTGGTACCAGACTTGTCTGGGAGGATAGCAGCACTGGCTCGACATATCGGTAGGCCACCACGAGTCATTCTAAGGGCCAAATATGCATTCAGTCACTCCCAAACGATGCTTAATGAAGTCGAATGCATGGCGCATCCCTCAGGGATTGATCAATGCCGAGAGCTTTATCTTTTGTCCTTTTTGAAAACTCCAGTTCCATTATTATGGTGTGTTTGAATGGGCGACAAGTTGACGAGTTATTCAGTCCGTAACCGACATGAAATTAGGCGTCGTCGCACGTGGTAACCGCGCAAAATTGAGTAAGGGCCATGTGTTAAACTTGATGAATGAATTGTTTTTTTTGTCCTTTATATGTATGCATGGACAGCATGTGTTTAGACTGCAACGCAATACACACTAAGTCAATCCGTGGTTGAGCCCGCGCTTCTGGCCCATTAGGTTTTCCAGTACCAGACTACTCGGGGATGATAGCAGCACTGGCTTGAAACTTCGCCACCACGACTTAAGTCGCTCTATATAGGCGAGATATGCATTCAAATACCCCTGACAATAAAGGATAAAGGATGAAGCTCTCGGCGTTGATCAATACCTGAGGGATGTGTCATTAATTCGATTTCATCAAACATCGTTAGAGATGGTTGAATACATATCTGGCCTATACAATAACTTGTGGTGGTCTGCAATTTTGACACCTCGGAGAGAATAGTTCGGTGAGTCTGGGATGCGGAATCGATCTCATGTGTATTGCAAGACGCGTTTAGCCACTGTGCTACACGCGTACGATACATGCCTTTAACGATACTTGATGAAAAAACGAATGCATAGCGTATCCATCAAGGATTTATCAACGCAGGATGTTTTACGCTTCACTCGCTTTCTCTACTTTAGGTCAGAGATGCTCTTCAACGTAGCAATGTACTACTTTCCAAGCCTTTGTTTGTGTATGCATGTGTATACTTGATACCTGAGCGGCTCTTCCTCACTAGTTGTGCGGGCCCCAGCGTAGTCACCAATTTTCGGAGATTTGCTGACTAAGTCATTGTGGTTCCCTGGAATCCCGAGGTCAGCCTGGCCAAAGTCTGCACCAGTTCGTCGCCACCACAAGCAGTTGCAGCTCTTGTGGATAAGTGGGAGATTTCCCACTAAACGACTTTGATACCAGGAGGGTTGTGGATCCTGGTATTGGTTTGCTCTTAGCCAGGCTTCCTGATGGAAAAGTCAGACTACTCAGCTTGGGAGATCCTGCCAGAGGGCACCCGCTGTATATCGCAGTCCGACACCCAGGAACAGCTCCCAGCCACGATGAGGCGGTAAACCGTTTGGAGGATGCATATATATATATATATATAT